ACAAGGCTCCATTGACTGCCATTATAATTCATTAAACATTAATATTTCAAAAACTATAAGTTTTACAGGCACCAAAAGGCATAGCCATCATTTGGTACAGGAGCTTTACAGATATAAATTCAGTGCAAACTGAATGTATTAATGCTTACTTTATTAAAGTTAGATTCTTAAAAATGTTATAATAAAACCTTTTTATTGACAGTATTTGACAGGGAGAAGAAGCCACACATGAGCAGATATAATTCTTGACAAACAGACATAAAAAGCTGATAAAAACCAAGCCTCACCTGTCCCAGACACTGTTTCCTCCTGACAGAGCTGCGGCTGTACAGTCTGACTGACAGCCAACAGGCAGCGTGCTGGAAGGAGGCCAGCAGGAAGTGGAACGTCTCTCCCCACCGACACTGACCTCCTGATGCCTTCAGAGCCTGAGTCTTCCTCCTCAGGACCACCTGCCCCAGCTGGTGCATCTCCACGCTGATGAAAAAAGCTTCAGAGCACAGAGAGAGTTAATAATCCAGGTTTCACTGACACACTGACACAGGTTTGTTTTATCTGTTTATGATTTTAACTTTCTGTGTGTGTGTGTGTGTGTGTGTGTCTGTGTGTGTTCCTCGTCTCCTCACAGGTGTCTCAGTATGTTTTGTTTGTTTGTGTTTGCAGCAGTCCTGAACTTGTCTCCCTGCCACATGGCCCGACTGCTCCCTGTGTGTTTCACTCCCTGTGTCCGTACTTTACTGCCACGTCGACCTTTTCCTTGTTAATAAATCAGTTTGTTTTGACTCATAGTGTCGGCCTGCTTCCTGGGCCCAAAGCATTTTACAACTGCAACACAGTGCAAAAAATAAACACAATTTAAATATTAATGTTTGCCATAACTGAGGTCTGCAGTAAAATGAGGCCATAGTTACACCATCTCAGTAACTAAAATATCACATCCTAGTTTTTTATTTCTKATCTACTTTTTTAGATACATTCAGCTGTAATTAGTTATTACTAGAAAAAATTACAGCCATCCATCGAATATATTGTTTCATGAGTTGAAAATATTAAAACTCTATGATTTGTTTGGTTATAATATTTAAC